CATTGCTGTGTGTGGTTTTGAAGGGATTTAGACCTATTTTATAAAAAATATCACCCTCAGTAGTAAAAGACTACAAGGCTGGTTACAGAGCGTCCACACCACTCGTCTTTAATAGCCGAAAAAATATCTTAAATCCATCTTTTGCCTCCAAAATACCCTCAGCGGCATGTCTCTAGGATCCTTCTATCCAGAATTGGGCAACCTTTCAACGGTTTATAAATCCAACCGTGCCAAATCGTCATGTTTGTACGCTATTCGGACTCAATTTTTGCATCCGGTCAACCCTTCATCGACCTTGTTGGACACGGACTTTGACCGTCTTGCAAAACTCCCTCTGATTGGACGACAGTTTCCATGGAATCACTTCAAAAACCCCCGACTACTAAGGGGAGTGCAGAAATTTGTACAACTGTCTACATCCCCCAAGGAACTTTCACCATTGTATTCGTAATTTGCCAAGACCCTTTGGAAACAAGAACTAATAAGTCTTACTAAGCTTATAAGCTTAATCTATTCATCATTTTTTTATACATGAAAATAGCTAGTGCTACGAAACTGATAAAGAAAGAAGAACCGACGGAAATTGTGGAACTTACCAAAGATTCCATTTTATAATGCTTGAAACACTTTGACTTTGCATCTTTTCTGAAAATAAACCTATGCAGCGTACTTCAAAAATGGCGCCGGTTGAAAACTTCGTTGAAACGGCTTCGGGTTCGGCGCGCCCTTGGGGGATGTAGACAGTTGTACAAATTTCTGCACTCCCCTTAGTAGTCGGGGGTTTTTGAAGTGATTCCATGGAAACTGTCGTCCAATCAGAGGGAGTTTTGCAAGACGGTCAAAGTCCGTGTCCAACAAGGTCGATGAAGGGTTGACCGGATGCAAAAATTGAGTCCGAATAGCGTACAAACATGACGATTTGGCACGGTTGGATTTATAAACCGTTGAAAGGTTGCCCAATTCTGGATAGAAGGATCCTAGAGACATGCCGCTGAGGGTATTTTGGAGGCAAAAGATGGATTTAAGATTTTTTTTTCGGCTATTAAAGACGAGTGGTGTGGACGCTCTGTAACCAGCCTTGTAGTCTTTTACTACTGAGGGTGATATTTTTTATAAAATAGGTCTAAATCCCTTCAAAACCACACACAGCAATGTTAAATAACATCAAGAACACATGATATCAAGGTAAGATGATTTTATTAAAAAAAAA